TATAATGGATATTTAACAAATGTGACATGGAAAGGTCTTCAAGGTCATGGAAGTTCAGAGTCACACCTTCAAAATACCAAAATGTAAACGAAAGATAACTGTACTGAAATGATTTTCTTTCCATTTTCAACACCTTTTTTTACATAAAACAAAATGAGCAATTTACTGTCATTTTGAAATGATCAACTAAGAAAATTGTTGACAAAGGAAAAATATCAATAGAACAATTTCAAATGTCCTATTTGCTCCATTCTGAGATTCTGAACATAGTGAATGATTGAATCTGACAAATTGTAAAGAAACTTTATTACACAATACACAATAACAGGTTTACCATCATTTTTATATAATCAACTAACAATATTGTTAAGAAGCAGAAAATGTCAAAAGAACACCTTTACATATCTAATTAGTTTTAAAAAATGAGACTGTTAACATGCTTAAGATTTAAAGCTGAGGAAAAAACTTTTATACAAAAACAAGGCATAACTTCAACAAAACCTACCCAATCAAGCTTATTTTCAAACTAAATCTGTATTTCAGTAAGACTGATCACTCCTGTGAATTTCCAGACAATTAGCCAATTGATTTTCCTTGAAATGTGTTATCAGTGGTGCATATATGCTGAAAAAAAGTTTAAAAACAGAATAGCTTTTATATAAATGGCCTGATCATGCCAATTTTCTAACTTGACCTGTGTACTATGAATTTTCATCAGTTCTGTAAGTTTCAATCCAAATGTAAAAATGGTTTTCCACATATCGTGTTATCGGTGTTGCATATATGCTGGAAAAAAGTGAAAAAAAAACAGCATAACTTTTATAAAAAATGACCCGATCATGCTGATTTTCAAACTTGACCTGCATATTATGAATATTCATCAGTTCTGTAAATTTCAAGCTAAAAGGTAATGCATTTTTTCACTTATCGTGTTATCGGTGTTGTATATATGCTGAAAAAAAGGGAAAAAAGCAGCATAACTTCCACGAAAATTGCCTGATCATGCTGATTTTCGAATTTGACCTGCGTATAATGAATATTCATCAGTTCTGTATGTTTCAAGCCAAAAGGTAAAAAGGTTTTCCACTTATCGTGTTATCGGTTAAAGTGCACGGCAACAACAGCGACGACGGAGACGACAGACGCAGGTGAAGGGTATATGTACAGACACGTGTCTGAACATAAAAACAATACACAAAAGGGGAAAAACACTCACTCACATTTGAGAGAAAATGCACATCAGCCTTAGAAAAGAAACACGACAACCAAACAAGCGTGACCTAAATAGGGCATATGAAGGTTTTGTTCTAGCCTCGAAGGGCATTCAACTTTCAAGAACGACCTAGAAACATGGGCGTAAGAGGAATATGACAGAAATGAAAAGAGTATGACATGGTAGCACTTACCCATCTCCAGTAGCTTGGATTTCAGTCCATTTACGATTAATTCTTCTGCGGCGGTTATTCGAGGTCCGAGCTAAGAGCTGAGTGTTATTTGTACATGTACATTTCCCAGAGCGAAGAGTCCGCATGGATTGAAGGGTCGAATTCACAGAAGCACACCATGGAGAAAAAACGAAACATTCGATGTTTTGTACTAGTAAAGAAACTATCCTCAGGTGCGATGCATTGGCGTAGGATCACATGAAATTTGAAGGCGGTTGCCCGAAGAAAATCGCTCTCACTTCGCGTCCTTTGTACTCCTCTGGAGTGAAACGCAACATGTCCATCCCGCTTCACAATTGCCCGCTCTTAGACTTCCAATCTTAGATTGTCGGCTGGGGGCGTTGCTGTCGTCAGCATCCTGTCAGTTTGAACGCGGGTTGTCGTATGAGAATGAGACCCAAATTTCATTATTGCATTGTATATACACCTACGTTTGAAATGCATTCAGCGTTTTCATACCTAAACTCTTTTGTTTAAACAGAAAAAAAACGCGCATTTACCTCGGAGGGAAGAATCAATGTACGGCTATAATAGTTTTTGGAGGGAAACCACGCATGCCTCTCCCCCAATTATTATTGACAGTGTCCTTGCATCTTGTTGACATGATATCAACCTGAAGTTTATAAACCTGCCCAAGGCCATCATTGGACGACCTTGTTCGCTTACACTGGAACACTTATTCACAATATACACTGATCCACAATGCACTTTGAAGAAACTTTCATTTCATTTCTTGTTTCACAGATGATGATAATAAAGATAAAGTGATAATACATTTTTGCTATAAATATTTATGTGGAGTTGTCCAGTTTTTTGGTAGCATTAATTTTCCAAGGAGAAAGGATAACGAAAGGATAATATACTTGGTGTGATTTAATGTTTTTAGTTACTTTTTACATTTGCGTAAATATTTTAACTACTTCTTATATTTGCTTGAAAGAAGATGGCATGCAGGGCTCCATAGTCCCCCTTTTCACTGTTTAGAACTGGCATGGTTTAAAAAAACTTTCGTGTGTGCGTGTGTTGGGGGGGGGGGGAGGCTGAGTTTGCTCAGCTCCTGTGATCTTTTATGTTCTTTAATTACCAAAATTAACAGGTCTGTAGACGGAAAGGGGGGGGGCGAACCCCAGAAGAAGGTTGTTTGCTCAGGGCAGCATATGACCTACGTACACGGAGGTTTCATGGTAAGAGGTCAACTTTTAGGGAAAAAAAACGTCATGTTTTGATAATCTACATCTACTACAATTAACCAAATGGTCTTTTATTTAAAAAAAGATTAACAAAAAGCATACAACCATATAATGAAGAGGACATAATCAGACTGGGTCTCTAATAACTAAAATGAAAAAGTATACTTTTAGCTGAAGATGGAGTTAAACAATCTGCCTCAACGGGTTCAGGGGTTGGGGTGAGAAGTAAATAATGTCATTTACACGAAAACAGCCCTCTCTGTCTCTCTCTCTCTCTATATATATATATGACCTTTTATGTAGAAAGATAATATAGAATCCAGAATTGTGTTTGGACTTTGCTGAGGACTTTTATTAAGATGACTGCCAGAATGTTTAAAGCACAATTCTCTGATGCTGTCATGTTTTTCGGTGAACAGAGTGTGATAAAAATATTATCGAGACAAGAAACACTGTTGGTAAATATTGCACATTTTTTATTTTGACTAGCACATTAGTGGCATTAATGTGTATACAGTACAAGATATCAGATTGTCAGATGTGCAAGCAATTGGCGTGGTGAAGTAAACAGTACACCTCTTATACAAGATAATAATTGCTACCAGGCAAGTTAACAATGCAAAATGTTACTTAAATGTATTCAAAACACGCTACAAAACTTAAAAATACTATGCAAAATAATGTTACCAAAGTGAACAAATAATGATAAATACATAACAAAAATATGCACTATATCTTTTCGTAAAACATTTTTACAGATTGCTTCTCCATTATCTCAATGCTTCAGACATTTTGTATGGACCTGCAGATATTTTACTGTCACTGCATGTGCCAATGATATGTGCTACCACACATGAGACTTAGTAAAGTATTATTTGCCTGGAAATTTCAACACCCTTCTTCACCAAGGTAGACCATATCCCCAACTGCCCACAGAATTAAGGCTTGTTAACACTAGGTTGCATGTTTCTAGTTTTTGAGTCTTCATGGTAATGAAGATGCAGACTGGTCATTTGTCACTTTTGACAGTAAAAGTTTGAAATTTTAAAGTCGAAAAGAAGTTCATAAATTGTAATTTTTTCAATGGCTATGGATAGTGTATACCTTGGTAGACTAAAAGTGCTGAAATTTCCCCAAAATAATCTTTTTCCCCTTGTATATAAAGGTCTAATTGGCACTGTACGCCTTTAACTGGGTTGAACCCAATACTGATTTTCTCAAACTAACTGCCTCTCCAACATCTGGCATTCAGCTATATAAATACAAACTTACATTAACATGTTGCCTATCAAATGAAATTAATTTGCAAATTCCAATTACTTTTTTTTCTCCACAAAATACAGATTTCATCTCTGCAAAACCTTCTGCAGTACATTTTGTGTCATTATAGTTACAAACCAGCATATAAAGTTTTTTAATTTTTGCCATCTTGATCTTAGTCAACAAGAAAAAAAAAAACAAGTGCAAAAACAAATAATATACAAAATATAAACTCACCTTCCTTTGAAAAAAAAAATTAAAATAAAGATGTCCAAATATGCAACAAATGATTCCATGAAACACTTCAAACACAACTGACACTAAAATGTAAGATATAATATTAACAGTCTTACTATCTTCATCAACAAATTGGTAAATAGTTTGCTGTGAAATCACACAACATTGAATCAAGTGTATTTTACTCTACTACATGTCAGGACATTCTATGCAAGGGAGATACATGCTTGAAGAAAAATGGAAATCGTGAGCAGTAGTATTTAGGTTAATAGCAAAAAGGTTTATCCTTTATTGGTCTGTGTTGTATTTAACCATGTTTATTGTGTAGTAATGATCAGGTCATAAATTTCTTATGTTATGTCATCAGTTAAACCTTAAATCTTCTGTCAACGATTTCTTTTATATAACATTATCCTAACAGCCATACTTTTATGTTGGCAATAATTTAATACTTACATTTTTAATACAATCAAATATTCATTATGACAACAGAGTTAAATATTACTTATAATGCTTATAATATCCAATAAAAAGTACTGAGCACCTATCATGTCATGTTGTAACAGATTTGCTTCAAATCTCTGATCAGTTTTCCAAAATAAGTCTCAATGCATTCTAAAATGCTGTGGTAAGAAGTGTATTTAATGGAATCTCTTCAAAAGGACAACAATTACCCATAGTTGTCTTTCATTGGTAATTTTGATCCATTTCATAAAACCCCATCCAGGGTTAATCATTGTGATGTGCTGATTCAAGTTTTCATTCTCACAATCTGGTGTTGCTGCTTTGTTCAGCAACATTGGATGCTTGGTCCTCTGTGACAGGATTGGGGTCAATCTGTAAAATAAACGGATCCCAACAGTGGTTATAACTTGAACAGCAACCAAACCACAAAAAAAAAAAAAAAAAGAGAGAAAATGTTGGCGACAATTAAAGCCTTAGAAGTTGTTAGTGCATATAAGCCTTTTTAAACAAGGGATAAAGAGCACAAGGAACAGTTAAACAGACCACAGCCAGAGGTTGAAAAGTAGTGAGGAAAACGTCCATTATCACTACATCCCTGACCCTGAACTGGTATCTTATCTCTGATCCTCAAATGTGCACTCAATAAGTATTGAGAAGTTCTGAAAATCTTTTAAATCCCTTAAAATCACTGACTCTAAAATTACTGAATTAAAAATATATCCATGCAGCACAAAAGCAACCTCTTGTGAGAAGAATTTATCACGGTCTGATATGAAAAAATGACTTAAATTCACAGAGTGAAAACTGGTACATAACCAATGGTGCCTCTCTTAACTGTCATAAAAATTATACAAATTGCCATAGTCACCTCAGAGTAGGCTGGTGGTGGTCTGTATCTGTACCCATAGACATATGTATACATAGGTGTGTATGTCCAGTCCCCCATGTTGACCCCTCTATTGTCATCGTCATCTTCATCTCTGATGTCCACTGCACCGCTGTATGTCTCGGCATATGTAGGTGGAGCTGAATATAACACCCAGAATATAGCTATGGAAAACCATTTCATTATTGTGCAATTCTAAATGTGAAATCATTTAAATTTAAAGGTATCCTATCCAATATCTTCCTGCCAAATTGCATTTTTCTAATATAAGAAAAAAGTCATTTACTCAGACTCATGAATCATTGCTCAACCAATTTCTGGACTGGGATCCTGATAGAATAACTCAAAAGTTATGATCTGATTTCAGTTTTACATTCAGCATTTTTAAAAACATTTTATTTTCCATAAAATGATGAAATCTGCTGAATAGCTTTAACCAATTTCTCCCTTTTTATACTCAAAAAAATTAATGATAAACATCAATTTTAGACACTGGCAAAAGTTGTAAAAACTACAAATTTTGAAAATGTAGCCTGCAAATTTTCATCGCATTTAGACTATATGAAAAAAAAAAGATCAAAATGAAGACTGAATATCCTGAAACCAGGCATAATCCTGAAAACATTTACCTACGGATTTAGATATAAATAAACAAATGAATAAATAAATAAATAAATAAATACATATATAAATACTGAAGGAAAGAAAGAATGTATACTAGTGTCAAACTATGGGACAAATTAGTACCTTCAATTGCAGGAAGAGGTGGAGACATCTCTCTGTAAGGGGGTGGGACTGGTAACATTCTGCTATCAAAATATGAAACCCCCACTTCCTCAATGACTCTAGGATAGGAAACCATGTATGGCGAAAACCTTCTGTAAGGAACAGTTCCAATCACTATTGGCAAATGGACTGACAAGTTGTAAGCCCCTGGAATGTGGAGAGCTACCTGAAAGTTAAAGAAAACAAACACATGAAATGTGCCTATTTTAAAGCTAATAATTTTGATATAGCCCAACTTCATTCATCCATGGTTAATATTAGTTAAAACTTCAATTAGACAAATATAATTGTAAATACAATTCAAAATTTGTAGACTAAAATGAATTCACAACATCTTTCCTACCTCTATTCTAGTAATTTTTTCAACTACATAAATCACAGCTTACTATACCTTTACATAGTACTCCACTTTAATAATTCCACAGTTGATAATAGATGGAGACACTGCAGGGATCTTGAGCAGCTGAGCATCCCAAGTAGCCCTATTACCAGGGGTGATTGGCAAGCCTAAAAATATAGACAGAAAGAAATTTTACAGACAAGCAAGTATCCAATGGATGTTGCTACTGTATTTGTTTTAATCACATTTCTTTGTACTGATACAAAAAGGTGTACATTAGTTTTTCATAATAGCTTTAGTATTGATAATGGATACACTAAATCCAATCTATGTTGTATGTCTATTACAACCAGGAAATTCAAAGAAATACCAGACAAGAGCCTAGGTTTCAAAAAAAAAAAANAATATCAGGAACCATCAGAACTGAATTAAAAAACACTCATCTTTGAAATATATTTGATGAAAACTTAATTTAATTTGGCATCACATGTCAAACTTGGAAGTATCATTTACCACATAAATACTTATGCACAACAGCAGACAATATAATATTAATGCACTTCTTACATAATCTGCCCCTACCACATTTTCTAGTATATACATACATGTATCTGATAATGCACACCTCAAGCAACTAAAATTTTGGAGCTGTTACGGGATATCGGACAGGGCCGTAGCCAGCAATTTCAAAAGGAGGGTTCTTTTTCTGAAAGAGTGGACCCATAAAACCTTTGTGTGCCTAGATAAAAAATTTCCCCAGGGTGGACCTTTCTGAGAAAAAGAGTGGTTCTTTCTAACCCCCCCACCCCAAACCTCCTTGTGTAATGGGCCTGTATAACCATCTGCTGTATTTCCATTACCTGTCAATACGGTAAACTTGGTGCTCCTCAATCGCGACTTTCCATTAGCAAAGAAAGTTTGTGTCTGGTGAAGAGTGGCATATGGGATGATAGTTCTTGAGGAATGGTTCTCAAAATCGGCAGATATAGCAATTGATTCCCCTGAAAGCATTCAATTCTATATAAAAAACATTTTGTGCCATTTATCTAACTGCCCTGTAAAACCTTTAAAAAAGTTTAAGTTAAAAATATTGTTTAAAAAAGCTGATAATATAACTTACAGGTACTCCAACAAATGAGAATCAGATAAGTCAGTTTCCAACTGGGACGCAATCAAAATGGAAGTCTTCATCCATGCATTCGTTACACGTATACATGTTGCAAGGGGTGGTAATTTTCGACTGCCTGCTAACCAAGGCCATATTCCCATACTACTTAGTAACACTCACTGTGAATTGGAAATACATCACTAAAGTAATGGCTTTGTGGCCATTACAAAAACTACAAAAATGTGATGCTCAACCCCTGTATTACATATTCAGATATGAACATGTCCAGGTGTGGTTTTTCACTCACCTGGGCAGTATCCTCTCCTGTCTGTTCTGGCACATACTGAGATAGGGCCAGATATACATAGCCAGCAGCACAGAGACTTCTCCACACTGTTTTCAACTGGAAGCTGAATTGTACAACACAAGTGAATGAAACTACAGAGTTGATTTTGATACTGATAAGAAGTTGAACCCTAATTTTTTTTTTTTTTTTTGGGGTGGGGATACTTTGATAAAGAATCAAATGTCCTAGAGGTCCTCTCACCAATTTATGTTCAACTGAAAACCAAAGTATAATAATGGATAAATTTTTTGTTTTAAAACAACATTTTTTTTCACATACAAAATATTTGCACATTGGACTTTGACATAATATTTTTTGAAGTTACTGTCTTTTTGGTCAATAGTCACTTTTAAGTTTCACTATTTTATAAAAAATTCATCTTACCTGATATTCTTGTTTGTTGATATCAATTGGGCTGATGACTGTAAATGCCTTTTTTGTCTTGTGATTAAAAGCCCAAGGTTTCTCAAGTTCCCCTTTTAACCAGTAACGAATATTACCATGCTTTCCTTCAAATGAAGTAGCAATGCATCTAAAAATAAACAATTTTCTTTGTGGTGACTTTATCTAACTAGGACAATGAAAGGAATAAAAGATAGCAAATCAAGAAAGCAGAAAGTTAAAGGGATAATAACTCTTCGTATGAAATCTATATTTCACAATAAAAACATTGTGAACAACTCATAGAAATATAATTTATTCTGTTTTACCACAAAAACGGCAGATATAGCTATTATTCTGATATCTGAGCTTGTCTTCAGATCACGTGACCTCCATTGATGGCTGTACTCTGTTATGAACTCTTAAGAGATTTTAACAAAAAAAAAAAAAAAACTTCTTAGAAAAAAAAACAGGGACTAACTTTGAATGTAAAAATGAATTCATTAACCATTGGTAAGTATGGGAAAATTAACAAGTTGTTTCAGGGATTTTTGATTCCAAGTTTATACCAGAATTATACTTACTGAAAGGGAAGTTCGAAGCAAAATTCAAACTCATGTCTACCATCTGACAGAGTTTCTCGAGGTTGGTCTGGAATATCTAAGAAAAATACCACAATAATATGATAAGCAAGTTAAAAGTAATGAACTTGACCTAGCACTATTCATATCTAACCCATGTGATCATTAATATGAATCAACCATTTTAAGCTACAAAATAAAATATTTCATCCATGTATTTTGGAGTCAACAAGCTGGTATTTTCAGTTCATACAAAAATGTTATAGTAGTAATTTTACTTGTCAAGTAATACATTTATCCCATTTTCTTTTCTTTCTAGAGGTCCATGTTTATCTTGAACTTAATGTAATTTATTGTTTAAATTTTCATTTGCAATTACATTTTTGCATTGCTTCCACCTTAACTGGTTGCTATAATTAAAAATAAACTTATTATTCTAACCTTAAAATTTTGCAATTTGTGTTTTTTTTTTCCTTGAATACAAAATATGCTCTGATGAAATGGCAGCTGCAGTTCTCATAACATCATTATTTGCAATAGCATGCATGAACAGACCATATTACATTCGGTTCCTAACAAATGTTCAATCAAGTTATTTCCCTTATAATTGAATTTCACAGTAATGCCTGCCACTTTTATCCTACAGTTTCCAGGACACATGGGATGGGATTACAGAAATAATGAGGAACACTGCTATGATGTGCACATTAACATCAGTTAATCAAACATAGGGACCATTCCCACAATCCTATCGCACTAGCAGGATCGATTTATCTTCAAGGGGATTCTCCCTAAATCGTATTCAGTTTAATCATGCAAGAAAGTTAATAACCCCTCTAGCAGCTTCAGTGGACATGACAGACATTTAAGCTGCTTAAACTAAATGCAATTTAATAAGAATCCCCTCGAAGTTAGATTGATCCTGCTAGTATGATAGGTTTATGGGAACCCAGTCCTAATCTCAATCATTGAAGTGTCATTAATAATTACTCCTTCTTCTTCTGCCAGCTACATATTGTGTATGGCATCACTTAGGCTCTGTTCTCACAACTTTTAGATCGATCTATCACCGCGGGGAGTCTCACTAGATTACTGTCAGATAATCCCCCTTAAGTGTCCGTCCCCGCCTACTACAAGCTTTAAGGGGTAATTAACTTTCGTGTCTGCCCGGCTGACAGCTATTTAGCGTGAACCCCCAGGGAGTTAGGTCGATCCAATGTAGGTCGATCTAATCTATGAGAATGGGGTGTTATATATATGTATTTATCTTTAAAAAAAAACATTTGCTTTTAACTACTCATCCAATTTCTAACTAGCTATGGCTGTCCATTTATCAAGAGACATATTTGTGAATATCTGTGAAAAATAAATCTGTCGCCCTGGTAGAGGATAGTACTTCCCCCAGATTTTTTTCTTTTTCTTCCCAGACAAAGACAAGCAGAAAACTTTTCCATATCTCCCCTGGGCCTTCCTCATTACCTGTTAATGCACATAAACTGGCCTAGGGCCTCAAATTGCAATGTTTCATTTTAAGTCAGAATGCTTCAAACATTGTATTTTCATGTCGTGATATACTAACGAAACACGCAAAT